CCTAGGTGCATCTTATGGTCCAGTACGTCTTATAGTCCTAAAAATATGGTAATAAGGCCTCTCAGCACCTTAAAGGATCCTTCTAAAAAAACCTAAACTCAGCCCACTACCAAGATGATGCTGATCTTTCCTTTGCTGTATCCGGCCTCTCGTTATCTGTCTAAGCTTCTCTGTCAGAATCATGTCCTGATTCCCTTACAGGGTCTAGGCAGTGTCTACAAACTAGAAGAGCATTGTATTGCCTGATAAGTTTTACCAGGTAAATAAACATCTGATCATCTGGCCACATTTTATTATTATTATTATTATCATCATTATCATTACTATTACTACTACATCTTTATTCTAATTTATTTCACCATGAGTATTCTTTAAATAGAGGCCCTGACAGAAGCTCTGTCTGATACACTGTTAAATCACGAGTTCACTAATATTTGAAAGATGACTCCTGGCTTGTGAGTGTATATGCCACCGAGTATATTCCACAGCGGCACTGACCCACAGAACTTTCTCGGTTGACGCAAAGGTGCCCTATCTGCACTGTGCTGTGGTAGCCATCGGCCACATGTGGGGTTGAGCTCCTGAAGTGTGGCTAATGCAACTGAAGAACTGAACTTTTACTTTTACTTTAGTTAATTTCAGTGTAAAGAGTCACATGTGGCTGGCAGCTACTATATAAATGCAGAACTAGAGCGTTCATCACAGTACGCACTAAAAATCCTGAATGCTCCTGATGACAGAGAAAATGATCATGAAAGTGCCATTTATAGAACATCATCCAGGACCAGGCATTGCCTACGCCCTTTTCATACAAATTATGTAATTTTATACAAATGACCGTTCTCCTGGTAAGTACGGTCACTATTCTTCCCACTTTCCAGTTGAAGAAACTGAGATCGCACCGCCAGAAAGCCAAGGAACGGAGGTGCAAATGCACTGTGGCCCCCAGAGCACAGAGCACGACTCGACCCCTCCCACAGCAGTGCCCGGCCCTGTGTGTCTGTTCCTAATTTCAATGAACAGGAAAAAAAGAGTAAATGAATTTTTCTCTATTCTTTTAAAAATCTCCTCACTTAGTGCCCAAGACTGGCCTCTAAAGGAAAGAAAATTCTATGACTGAGGCCTCTTCCAGTCCTTAAAAAAAAGAAAAGTCTCTGTGATTTGACTAAAAGATGTGCAGCCAAGAGGTGAACTAGAATCCAAATTGTATTTGTGGTCTGGAGAATCTCCCCACGTGAAGATATGATATTATTTTTACATTTACTTAAGATTTATTCTTGCCTGCTACTGAGAACATTTGAGGGGGCTTATAGGTTAAAATAGTGAAGGGTCATAAAAAGGATCACAGAAATCACTTAGAAAAAATGCAATTTTAATTAATAAAGATTTTAAGCACCCAATTTCTGAAACAAAGATTGACTAAACCTTTTTAGCTCAGGCAAAATAATAATAATAACAACAACAACTAATTAATTAAAATGTGGGTGCATTAGGTTATACTATTGCTCTTTCTTTCCTGACCAAGAAATCAGTCAAATTGGTGTGCACCTTTCACTAAAGACACAGGTTGCTCACGTACTTCTCATCTCTCCTCCCCTATAAAAGCAGACAATGTGGTAGGAAAGTATAACTGAGTAAAGGCAGTTCTCAGAGGGAAGAAGCATCCCGCCCAGCCAGCACTGGCACAGATGTGGCTTCCCTGAGGCCCCCTCTGCGTGACCTCTTCCTTCCACCATTGCTGCTGAACACGCAGAGACTGGACTGAGGGGGTCAGTGGCCCCTCCACGACCAGAACAGAAGAGTAGATAAGAAGAGTGGCTACCTGGCCCTGTGAGCGCACTCTCTCATGCCAACGCGGGAAATCTTTATAAGTGGGGAACTGCCTGTTGCCATTTACTTGCCACTGAGCTACATTTGTGTGTGTGTGTCAAGGGTTTCACTAAATGTTCTTCTTTCTGGTTTTTATCTCTTGATGAACTTTCTCATGCCTATTTGGAGAAGAGAAATAATCACAAAAATGCACACACACACACCTTTTCTTCTTGGAAACAACTTACACGGGGATCTTCCGAGGAGTGATGCTTTGTCCTCATCGGGTCAGTTAAAGGGCTTAGCTGAGTGTTGCCCTTCGGCACACAGCTGCCTCTAACCCGCTTCTTCTTCACTGCGTGCCTTGAGCTGGTGGCACAGTTTGGTTACAGAGAATAAAGGGGTGCGAAGCCTTTGACAGATGCCGTGTGCCTCCACTTCCACAGGGAGATAAAAGAAAAAGTTTATCTATGATTTGTATGCTTATAACATGTTGAGGAGCTTTATAGACCTTAATTCAATCTCCACAGATCAATGGGAGTTATGATTTTTATCTCCATTTTTTAAAGATTTTATTTATTTATGTTTAGAGGGGAAGGGAAGGAGAGAGGGAGAGAAATATCAATGTATGGTTGCCTCTCATGTGTCCCCTGCTGGGAACTGGCCTGCAACCCAGGCATGTGCCCTGAATGGGAATCGAACCACAGTTATTTGGTTCACAGGTGGGCTCTCAATCCACTGAGCTATACCAGCCAGGACTTTAGCTCCATTTAAAGATGTCTGTATTGAATGGCCTAGAACAAAGTAGCACTCAACAAGTATTAGCTGACTGGCTGATCATTCGTTACCCCCACTTCTCTTTGGTTATACCACAACTTGCTTTAAAATGGGAACTTGAAAGGAGAAATTCAAAACAACTTTCCAGTCTTTACCAAAGTATCATCCTCCCTCTGAACACTTACAAAGCCCCAACAGCCTCCTGTCATTCTAAGTAAGAAGGGACTCCTCACTCTTCTCCAGTCATTCTTCCCTCCCATGCTGGTCCACCCAGTTTAAGAAAGCTTGCAGCACAAAGCCAGCAGCAGTGGAATGCACATCCTGAAGAGGATGTCTCTTTGTTATGTAACGGCAGGTGAATTACTATTCTTTTATAAGTGGGTTTGAGAGTTTCAAAAATGACTGAATCTTAAGAAGAGAAAGAGATTAAGAGCTAGTGTTGCCATTATCCCATTTATTATTTTTTTAGTAAATAGACTTCATTTCTTAGAGCAGTCTTTGGTTTACTGAAAAATTGAGGGGAAAGTACATTCTCCCAATCCCCACATGCCAGTTTCCCCTCCTATTGCCATGTAACCTTAGTGTGGTACCTTTGTCACAATTGATAAGCCAATACTGATAAATTGTTTTTGAAGCTCATAGTTTACATTAGGGTTCTCTCTTTGTGTTGTGTATTCTATGGGTTTGGACTAATGCACAAGTATAATGACAGGAGTCCACCATCACAGTACCATAGAGAACAGTTGCACTGTCCTGAAATTCGCCTGTGCTCTGCCTATTCATTCCTTCACCCCTGGCAATCACTGATATTTTACTGTCCCTATAGTTTGGTCTTTTTTAGAATACTGTATAGTTGGAACCATATAGGAAATAGCCTTTTTCCATTTATCAATATGCACTTAAGGCATTATCACAGAATAATATCCCATTGCAGAGATGCACACAGTTAATCCACTCACCTATGGAAGGACATCTTGGTTGCTTCCAAGTCTGGGCAATTATAAATAAAGCTGCTGTACATGGTCACCTGCAAATTTTTGGATGAGTGTGTTTTCATTTCATTTGGGTAACTATCAAGGAATGTGACTGCTGCGCTGTATGATCCGAGTGTTTTCAGTTTTGTAAGGAGCTGCCAAACCGTGTTCCAAAGAGGCCGCACCGTTTTGCATTCCCACCAGCAGTGGGTGAGAGTTCCTGTTGCTCCACACTCTTGCCAGCATTGAGTGTTGTCAGTGTTTTGGATTTTTAGTCTGATGGTACCTGGTTTTTTTAACTGGCAATCCCTAATGACACATGAGCACATTTTCAAATGTTCATTTGCCGTCTGTACGTCATCGTTGGTGAAGTGTCTGTTAGATCTTTTGCCCATTTTTAAATTGCTTCCCTATTAGTTTTAAGAACACATGATCATTTTTTCATTGTTTTAAAAACACAAAGACTTTGTCTCTATTCTACTGTATAATTGTCTCCTGCCTTTTGTTGCCTGGGTACTTGAACCCAACTGCTGCTGCCCTTCCAGTGCTGCTGAGTTCTGCGTTGACATCTGGGCTCACACTTTTACTCAACAGCACTGGAGTCCTGACGGCGAGAAAGAAAAGGGCAACTGGAAAAAATCATGGAAGCATCTCAACAAATCCTTGAACAGTCTTGGCCCACAACCAAGCCACTGAAACGCAAAAATCAAATGCCACATGTGCACTGGGAAAGCAGAATCACGGTGTGGCAAGTTTGCACAATGGTCCGTTATTTCGATATTCTTTAAACAGGAGATTTCTGGGAGGTATTATATCTCTAGGGTTTTCATTCCAAACAATGAGGAGTTATGTCAAAAAAGAAATTTCAACAAAAATCTCAGCAAAGTAGGTCTTCAAATGGGCAGAACATTTCTAAACCGCAACTTGCCAGGAAATTATATCCACCAGAACTCTCTATCTAGAAAGAAACTGAATTTAATGTTCTTTGGGTTTTTAACAGCAGCAAGGTAAATGGGAAGAATCTCTCAGAAGTGCTTTATGAAGCTATATAAAGAACAATTTTTTAAGCATTTTGTGGTTGGCAGCTTAAGATATTTTTTTAAAGAAAAGGTTTCTTCATTCTTCTGACTTGTTGATAACATATACCACAGATCTCAGTAATTATAGCAGATAAATCCTGGTAAAGCCATTGAGAAGATTACAGGCTAAGAATATCAGAAAAAGAAAAAGAAAAACACCCCTACTGGGTTATGCCCTTTCTTGTCTAATGCACTTGGGTCTAAAACATGACAGATTAAGAGACCTCTATTCACAGGCTCCCTCCTGACTGCCCAAGAAACAGGCCCACCTGCCACGACAACCTTGCAATGGCAAGTTTGAAAGCATCTCGTTCTTCCCACACAGCGCTTCACTGTTCCTAAATGTCCTGGCTTGCATTACCTTGGAAGGAAGGGAAGACTTGAAGTGGTTAAATCCACACATAACCCAGGAACTTTATTTTGCTTCAAGGCTCCAGTCTCTGCCGTTGTCTGCTAACTGGCTCCGAAACTGACAAAGCTGAGTCTCGCCGAAGGTATTGCCGCCTTTGAAACTAAACAGCGGTGGGCAAACTTTTCCCGTAAAGGGCTGGAGAGTTAATATTTCAGGCTTTTGGGGCCCCAGGTCTCTGTGGCAACCACTCAGCTCTGCAGCTGTAGCACAAAAGCAGCCACAGACAAGACCTAGAGGAAATCGCTTGGCTGCGTTCCAATCAAACTTTATTTATGGGAACTGAAATTTGAATTTCATGTAATTTTCACATGTTATAAGCTATTATCCTTTTGATTTCTCGACCATTTAAAACATGGAAAAACCATTCTTAGCTCGAGGGCCCTATCAAAACAAGCATTAGCCATATTTAGTCACAATATAAACAGGAGTCAGACCCTTCCATTATGATTGTGTGTGGAATCCTGTAAGGGGACAAGCTTCCAACTTAGAAATATAAAGACCAATGCACCCAGGACGTTTTTGGTATATATGTCTTAAAAGTCATCACATGTGTTATAAACTCACTTCATATGTTTTATGAATTCAAACACAATGAAAAAGCGTGATTTCTTCAAAATCTAATATAATACAGGGTCCAGCAGAAGTAACACCTGCTTGAGTGTGATTGGTTGGGTATATGAATGTCTTGCATGAGATGGACAGCAATTTGAACATTTCACCTAAAATGTCACATGGTATGTTCAAGTGTGATATTGATGTGTTACCAAGTTACATGCTTATGATTTTGTAATAAATGAGTTTATAATAAACAAGGGCGTTGTTGGTCCTGGACCCTGTACATCCTGTCAAAAAATGGGAAGTTTTAACATATTAAATATTTAAATACTAATATTAAATATGAATATGACATTTTAAATATAACATCCCAAATATGTAAAATTAGGATTACTTAACATATTATCTCTATTCTTAACTGGCCATTAAAAGTGGCATGTTAATAGGACTCGAAGTCCTAACCAGAGAGCAATTAGGCAAGAAAAAAAAATTAAAGACATTAAATTAAGAATGAAGAAATAAAACTGTCACTATCAGATGACATGATTCTATATATAGAAAACCCTAAAGATTCCAGAAAACTAATTAGAACTAATTTTAAAAATTCAGTCAAGTTGCAGGATACAATATCAACATATGAAAACCTGTTGCATTCCTATATACTAACAACAAAATACTAGAAAGAGAAAAGAAGAAAATAATTCCATTTACAATCACAAAGGAAGAATGAAACACCTAGGAATAAACTTAAGAGATGAAGGACATATACATTGTAACACATTGTTGAAAGAAATTGAAGAAAACATAAAGAAATGGAAAGATATTCCATATCCATGGATTGGAAGAATTAACATTGTTAAAATGGCCATTTTACTTAAGGCAATATACAGATTTAATGCATACCTATCGAAATCCCAATGGCAATCCATATCACAGAAAATACTTTTACTTCCTCCTTACCATCCCCAAGTCTGGGATAGAAACCTTGTCCATGTGCCACATACTATGATAGAGAGTACCTACTACATCATATTTTAATTTTCTGCTTAAGAGTCATTCTTCCACCCACTAAACTCTAAATTCCTCAAGGGCAAGAGGCTGACTATGTTCATTCATCCGTCTGACAGATGTTTATGGAGAGTCTCCACTGTACTGGGCGCTAGCAACACAATAACAAACATAAATAGATGAGACTCCATCCTTGGACAGGTTACAGTCTAGTGGAGAAGCCAGACACCCATCAAACAAATATAAAATTGCAACTGCAAAGCAATGCATTCACAGGGGCTTTCAGAAGCCTTGACTTAGGAAGGGCAACAGAGACTTCCTGAGAAGTAGTCACTTAGAAAGAGACAAAAGTGGTGACTGCAGCAGCTATCCAAGGGAAAGGGAGCAGCAGGAACCCTCCAGTAGGGAAAACCACACATTCCAAATTCTCAAGAGGGAGGAGGATAGCCACATTCAGCAAACTGAAAGGAGGCCAGTGGGAGAGAACACAGAAGCCCAGGCTGAGGAGCCTGGAGGGAGAAGAGGCTGGAAGAAGTAGAACGGGCCAATCACGCATTGTTCTCTTGCAGACCGTGTTCTGGAGCCTGACTTGCCCCTAAAAGCAGTGGGTGCAGCTGCAAGGGTGACAAGATCAGACCTGTGGTTTGAAGCAGTCACTCCAGCTACAATGCAGGGGACAGCTTGGAAGAAGGCTGGAGTGAAGATGGATACATCATTGGGAGGCAGTTGTAATAGCCCATTGAGAAGTGACGAAAAAGCTGGTTCACATCAGACCCCCAGTGCCTTACCCCGAGCTGACATAGAGTCAGCTCTCTATGAGTGTTAACTGAAATGAAATACTTGTTGAAATGAAATGAATGGTACCTGCTATGAGTAGGACGAGAGAAAGAATAGCACATAAGAGCTGAGGTCTCAGGGGGTCTTAAGACTCTCCCAGACTCAAAAGGGAGGGAACAATGTGGTTCAAAACAAAATAATACACCATATTTTTGGACCATAAGATGCACCTAGGTTTTAGAGGAGGAAAATAGGGGAATTTTTTTGAAGTAAAAAAATGTAGTTAAATATTTAATAACATAAATAACATAATATTTCACCAATATAAATATAAACAGAACTCAACAGCAGCATTAACAACCATTATTCCTCCCAAATTTGGGGAGATTTTTTCATCTTATAGTCCAAAAAAATACGGTATGTCAAAATTAAAAACACGGATGGTTGGAAAAGCCTCATTAGGCTTCCTGGTACAACATGTTAGCCCTTGCATATCAATTTCTCCTTCTAAAACTTATGATATGTAAGTCATCCCTCTTTGTTAGACTTAAAATAAGAAACAAATAAGGACTATCTGAGACATGAGGCGTAGCCACTCTAGGATGTACTGTCTGCCATTGAATCAAGACCTGTGAGAGACCTTTTAAAAAAAAAAAAAAGATGAGACAAAACATGAAACTGTGGTGCTGGGCAGCTCTAGAGTTTCTGGAACTTTGTGACTACTTCTTAAATTTTATCCAAACCACAGCGAAACGGAAAAAAAAAAAAAGAGTAGTAAGCTTGAAATTTTTAATTTTATTTTTTCCCTTTAAAATGTAACATTCCACAGTTGTATATGAAAAATTTATTTATAAATTCCCACTACATTTCAATGATCTTCAATGAGCCTTGACCCTTAAAATGTTCCTTGTCTGCTGAGCAGGGTGAAGGGCATCAGTTTAGAAGTATAAAGGAGGTTAGATTAGGCAAACCCACTCTGCATAGAAAAAGGGGAAAGACTGAGAGATGGAAAGATCTGGAAGTTAAGGGATGGATGGTGGAAGGGATAGGAAAAGATCCAGTCACAGATAAGCTAAAAATCAGCTAAAATAACTAATGGGGATTTGGGGGGGGGGGGGGGGGGGCAGTGAAAAAACCTACAGAGTGTGCGTTCTAACTTCCAATTCCACCTCTACTCCATTATGAATTTTTTAATAAAATCTAAACGGATTCTGTGGAGGGCATGCAAAGAAGTGCTGTCTAGTTTCATGGGTGGCATGAAGCCAAGCAGGGCCTGCCGGGAGCAGCAGCATTATGGGCTATTCTTGGCTGAAAGAAGCCATGGATTAGCTGATTGACAGTTGGTGGCCCAGCATGCCCCGCCTCCTCCTCCCTGCAGACCTGCCAGTCCACGGAGCGTGCGTGCAGTCCAGTCTTCTTCCCTCCCTGCCTTTGGGGTGGATGCATCTCATTCTGGCACTGCCTGGGGCTGACAGAGGGGAAGGAATCTGCAAACCCACTTAACCTCAAGATTAGGGCCTGATAAAAGCTGGACTGAAGAATGTGGCCTTAAATGTAAGGTTAAGTGCGTGTGCAAATATTTTTTTTGAAAAAAAATTTTAATCCCGTGTCTCTTTCTTAATTAGTTCTAAACTCAAGCAGGGAAGAAGAGTGTTATTTATAGAATCCCTCAACTTCTGACCTCAACATCTGTGAGCATACCAAAAAAAGTTTATAAGAATACACAAATAGATACTTAATAGAACTTATGTCTAAGTGGCTATATTTTATGGTTTTCCTGTTAAAACCATGTGTGTTGCTTTCCCTTTCCCCAGCTGCCGCTAAGGTGCTCGGTCCTTTCGAGGAAGCTAAGGCCGCCTTGAGGTGAGGCCTTCACTTCATCCGGCCACAAGCTTCACTCCCAGCAGCGCTGGTGCAGTGCTCGCCGGCACCAGGGCCTTGATCTCAACTCGCCTGCAGCTCCTTGGCCCTTATCCTGCACCACGATGTAGAGACAGTGATGGAGGGTAAGATCAATGCCCTCGCTAAAGGTGTAAATGTTGAACTTTTCTGGTCAGGCTTATTTGTAAAGGCTCTGACCACTGTCAACCTGGAGAGCCTCAGCTGCAATGCAGGTGCTTGGTGGGCCTGCCCCAGTGGCAGGTCCTGCACCAGCAGGAGGTCCCATCCCCTGTCCCCTCCACCGCTGCTCCCCCAGCTGAGGAACAGAAAGTGGAAGCAAAAAAAGAAGAATCTGAGGAGCCTTGTGACATGGGCTATGGGCTTTGGTCTTTTTGTTTTTAATATTTTTTTATTTTTTACAGAGAGGTGAAGGGAAGGAGAAAGAGTAGGAGAGAAACATCAATGTGTGGTTGCCTCTCCTGTGACCCCCACTGAGGACCTGGCCTGCGACCCAGGTATGTGCCCTGATTGGGAATTGAACTGGCGATCCTTTGCTTCACAGGCCTGTGCTCAATCCACTGAGCTACACCAGCCAAGGCTGGGCTTTGGTCTTTTTGACTAAACCTCTTTTATAACACATTCAATAAAAGCTGAACTCTGCAACAACAACAACAAAAAATGTATTGCTAAAGTTTTCAAACTCCAGCCACTATTAAAAAGCAACTGTTTTATTTTACACTTGCACCTGTGTTAATAAGGCAGGATTGAATTCAAGTCATGCCTCTCACACTCATGCTCTGGTACCATTTCCCCAAAGCTCTCTCCACACCCTGGTGTAGTGTTCTTCCCAATTCAGGTTAA